TCTTTCCTACCCATTCTCCCTTTACCCTCCCTGTTTTGCCACTCACACCACTGGTCCTATAGGGCTCATCTGTCCTGGATTCCCTGGATTCCTGTGAATCTTAACATCTCTTTTCAATCATTTTAAATGAGCTGCCCTAGTAAGCTACTCAGAGGTTACTCAGTGTAAACAACTGATTTAGCTCTTTTTTAACAAGCAAAATGACCATGGTGCTGGGTTGCTATCGCCCAATCTATTTGCAACATACTCCTATGTATTATCCATGTGATGTCATTTTTGTGGGGATACTTATCACCATCACGACAAGAGTTATTCTGCCTCTGGTGGAGGTGAGGAAATTGAGGTATGGAGAGTCTGTGGTTTATTTAGACTCATAGAAACCAGCGGAGATCTTTGGCAAGTCAACCACCCCGTAGGGGGAACCACCAACGACACCATTGCTTTTTTTCTTCAGGAAATTGACAGAAACCTTGTTGCTATGTCAATGAAAGAAACTTTATTGAAGGACAAGCACAGTTACAGAACGTGAGTCAGGAACGCAACAATTTCCATAAACCCGCTCATTCACAGAAGCCTGCCCTGTGCTCCATCTCCTCCCAAATGGACCGATCCACAGAGAGACCCAAGCACCAGACTGTTGACGAGGTCCGCTGATCTCCATTTCATGCTTGTTTTAGGAAAAGGCATTTCAAAAGTGCCCCCTGACTGTTGACTAGCTTATGCTCCGGGTATCTGATATTTATAATGTCTCCACTATTCTAGCCGCAGGATCATACAGGAACCAAAGTTTCAACCTATAAAGTTCGTACTTCTTTGTAGCGTAACAGATAATATCAAATTGTGTGCAAGAGCCCCAGGTATAATGTGTGTTTGATTCTACTTCAACTCCACGCGCTATCACATTGAGCTCGCTTCAGTAGCTAAGCAAATGTGATCCAGGCCATGCCATGGTTCCAAACTTCAAAACAGCATGAGTGAGAGAGAGATGTATTTTTAATCTAAGGATCAGAATTACACAAATCAAACTGCATGGCCCCATTTACTAGGTATCATGGGATGGAAATTCAGACAATCTACAGGGACACCATTTGCTAACATGCAAGGATAATTTCAGCACAGAACTATTCTTTTGAAAGCAATTTTGTTTGGGGGTTCTTTGAATAAAACAATTTTTAGAGCAAAGGCAGAAAAAAAGAGAGCCCATCAGTCAAAAGCAGCCCGGACTGTGTATACGCAGGAGAGGACAGAACAAAGCCAATCTCATCCCGAAATACAGCTGCGTCTCAGTCTGACAGACGCAGGACTGGAATCTACTCTAGTTGTTTCTTGGTTCCAGCTGCTGTTTCTGTCCCGGGGCCCATGACGTCTTCCTCGTGACCTTTTAGCAGTTTCCTAGGACACCTGGGAAGGTGGTTCCGCCTCTGGCCAACAAGAGGGGCCTGTGGAAGGACACACAGGAAAAGCTCATCAGGCAAGTAGACAACCAATCTGATGGCTCAAAGTTGAGGGGGACAAGGGGCAGAGGGAAGAGTCAATGGTTCCTCACCTCCTTCCTGGTTGCTTCCCGCAGCCTCTCTATAAAGGTGGCTTTAACTTTGGAAGAGCAGTCAGTGGCTTGGAATCTGTAGGGTCTTGCAGGAGAGCTCATGGTAGTGTCCATCTTCTTACAGAACATGAAACCACTGTTGACAAGAACATACAATGAATACCCATGCATCAATGGCCTGGAATCTTGAGGAGAGGGTGACGCTGCAGCGTAACACAGACACATGGAGGAGAGGCCGAGAGAGAGTAAAACTCAGAAAGGATACTCCACCTGCCGCCTTTCCCTAGGCACTTGTATCCCGGACAGGAAGCTTGAAGCGATTTCTAAGACCACTCAGAGGGTCTGAAAGGTCAGGATGCATCTTTCCACTGCCATTCGGGCACCTGAACTCAAGACTCAGCTCCGTGAGAAGCTCAGCCAGCCTTCCCCAAACTCTGCTCAGCAGGTCCTGTCCCTGAAGTACTACATCACAAAGAGCAAGCCTCAGTTGAAAATGAACAGGACGTCCTCCTGCTTCCTTTGCCCTAGAGAAGTAGTCAGGGGCAGGGTGGAGGATTGGGGATGGGCCAGGTGGTGTCAACCACCTGGTATTCTCCTTAGTTGTTCCGATGCCCAAGTTAGCACACTCACAATGTTCCAGGAAGATTCCTCCAGTCCCGGGTGCCTTGCCCCTCAGTTCAACCTAGCATTGCTTCTGGACATAAAGACAATATTCAGATCCTGGGGAAAGTCTCCTATCTAGCCTCCTGCCTGTAGCAGAATTCCAGACCTGGAGCATACGTGACACTGGCTCTACTTATAATTCAAAATCCATGAGAAGCCCAAGGCTATGTCTTTGTCGGACATAAAACTGCCTTCCCAGTACACAGTGCAGGTAGGATACCACCAGAGACCACAGGGATGAGAACCAGAGGACCCTGGTGTGCTACCAGGACAGCCATAAAGGATTCAAAGCAATGTCAAAACCAAGCCTAACAATAGTGGTATGCCGAGAGCTGGAGACTGGAGGAAGTGGTATCACCTGTGTACATATAATAGGTGGGGAATTCTTCATCAAAAACTTATAAGTAACAAAACTAACAGTTGGCTTACTTTTTAGTGTCATGACAGGCTGGCACAATTCTAAATAGTGCTACAGTATAAAGTATCTCCCCTCCCCATCCCTTTGATCCAGCCAGAGACTTTGCTTGTATCTTCTTCCCTGAATCCCACACATCTATATCCCACCCAGTATTGAAATCCCACATAGCCAACACTGCCTCTTCAATGAAGATTCTCATGCCTTTCTTGGCTGGACATAACCCTTTCTCCTTTTACTCCTAGAAGAATCTTGCTACATTCCCAAATTTCTACCCTGTATTATCCCTATCCATGAATATGGTTGTATTTCTTATTAACAGGCACCAAAGTGCAATAGACAGTGTGGGGGATTGGATATTAATTGAGTGACGTGGGGTAGTTAACCGCTTTAGCTTGCTTTGATATCTGGATGATCACATCTCTCCGAAGGGTTGTGTAATTGAATTAAGTGATGTGCATAAAGTATCTAACCTCTGGCAATGCACCCTCTACTGCAGTGGTCCTCAGCCTTCCTATTGCCGCGACCCTGTAATACAGTTCTTCATGTTGTGGTGACCCCCCAACCATACAATTATTTTCGTT